CCTTGTGGTTACCATAGACTTACACAAAATATTTTAAAATTATAATGGCCTATTTTAAACTAATAATAACTTAATGTCAATAGAATTTCTGAGCTTTATACTTTTACTTTTCTTCCCTCTCACACGTTAGGTTATTGATGTAACAATTTACACATTTCTTTTTTTTTAATATATTTTATTGATTTTGTACAGAGAGGAAGGGAGAGAGATAGAGAGTTAGAAACATCGACGAGAGAGAGTCATCGATCAGCTGCCTCTTGCACACCCCCTACTGGGGATATGCCCACAACCAAGGTACATGCCCTTGACCGGAATCGAACCCAGGACCTTTCAGTCACCAAGCCGACGCTCTATCCATTGAGCCAAACCGGTTTCGGCATACACATTTCTTATATTGTGTAACTAATAAACAATTATTGTAGTTACAATTATCTTTGCTACTTTTGCTTTTTAACTCTTAAACTAACTATAGTTGTAAGTGAATTATGCACCACCATTACTATATTACAGATTCTTACTTTGGCCATATATTTATCACTAACAGTGAGTTTTGCACTGCCTTCTTATGTTTTTACTAGGGGCCCAGTGCACAAAATTCATGCATTGGGGGAGTCTCCTCAGCCCAGCCCGCACTCTATCCAATCTGGCACCCTACAGGGGATGTCCAACTGCTGGTTTAAGCCTGGTCCCTGGCAGTTGGACATCCCTCTCACAATCCTGGACTGCTTATTCCTACTCACTCACCTGCCTGCCTGCCTGGTCACCCCTACCTTACCCCCTGCTGGCCTGGTTGCCCCCAATTGCACTCCTTCTACCTGATCGCTCCTAATAGCCCCCTTGACACCCAGGTTGCCCCCAATTGCCCCCTCCTGCCAGTATGGTCACCCCCAATTGTCCCCCCTGCTAGCCTGGTCACCCCACAAGCCTGCTTGTTCAGTCGTTTGGTCATCCCTCACTAAGCCCCCTGCTGGCCTGGTAGTAGGCAGCCATCTTGTGAAGGTGTGAGGGTTAATTTGCAAATTATCTCTTTATTATATAAGATGACATTAATTAGAATATTTTTTATCACTACTCTAAAAACTCCCTTTAGCATTTCCTGTAGGTCAGATCTAGTGGTAATAATTTCCCTCAGCTTTTGTGGTTTTTTTTGGGGGGGTTTTTTTTTGTTTTGTTTTTTTTTGTTTTTTTTTTTTTCCAGGGATGGGAACACTTACCTCTCCTTTTTATTGGAAGAGCAAGCTTAAGCAGGTATAGTTGTTTTGGTTGACAGTTTTTTCTTTTGATAATTAAATATGTCATATCCCCTTTTTTTCTGGCCTGAAAAGTTTCTGTTGAGAAATCTGCCTGTATTCTTATAACAGTTCCCAAGTATGAAACTTTTCTTTTGCTGCTTTTAAAATTATCTTTTGTTCAGTCAGTGTGGCTCAGTGGTTGAGTATCAACCTATGAACCAGAAGATCAGAGTTTGATTTCCAGTCAGGATACATGCCTGGGTTTCAGGCTTGATCCACAGTTGTGGGTGTGCAGGAAGGAGCTGATCAATGATTCTCCCTCACTGAAGTTCCTATCTTTCTTCTTTCCCTCTTTCCTTCCTCTCTGAAATCAATAAAAAATATACTTTAAAAATTGTGTCTTTGATTTTGGACAAATTAATTATAATGTGTCTCATTGTATCCATATTTAGGTTCAACCTATTTGGGCCTCTTGTATATGGATGTCTGTTTCTTTCCCCAGGTTTGGGAAGTTTTCAGCCATTATTGCTTTATATATAGTAGGACAAAAGTAGATTCGTAGTTGTTCATATGGAAAATAAAACCATAATAAATAAATAATGATACAAGAATAAAGTTTTCTAAGTAACTATACTACAACTCTATAGTTACTTTTGCCCTATTCTGTTCATTTCTGAATTGATATACTTCCTGTTCATTTCTCTTTCTTCTCTTCTGGAATTCTCATGCTATTTTTAAATTATGTTTCATAATTCCCATAAGCTTCCTATACTTTTTTTCATTTATTTTTTTCTTTTTGTTCATCTAACTGGATAATCTCAAATGTCCTATCTTCCAGATCACTGATTTTTCTGCATGGTTGAGTATACTTTCAGTATCAGGCGATTTTGTTATGAAGGCATCCATGTGGACCTCACATGGTTGTTCTGGGGTTATAGTGGAACTGGACAGGGACTGTGGAATTCCTGCAGTAGCAGGGCATCCATAAGTTGACCACAGTGCTGAAACATGCATCAAAAGGTTCAGATTGTCCAAGCCCCTGATGTTATTTCAGACAAGAAATACTTTTGTATGATTTTAAATGCTCTGTCAAGGAGACTTTCCCCATTACTTAGGATTCAGGTGATTTCCCCAAGCAGATCTAGTGAGATTATTCACCACATTTTTCCAAACTCTGTAATAAATAAGGGTCATATACATTTCCCAACACATGGATCAAATAACCAGACACTCTCTCTCTGCCTAAGGGAACTATTTCCTAAAGGAAATCTACTGAGTGGCCAGATTATTATGATCTCTGAATGAATCATAATCTGATCACTAAGTGTGTGATATATATATAAAATAGAGGAGGCCCAGTGCATTAATTTGTGCATGGGTGGGGTCTGCTGGTTGAACTCCTGGTTCAGAGGATAATTCGCATATTAGCCTTTTATTATATAGGATATACAATGAGTGGTCAGATTATTATGCATTCAGAGATCATAATAATCTGGCTACTCAGTGTAGTAATCAATGAAAAAAGAAAATGTTTAAAATTGCAATAAAAATAACTTTATTTCCTGGGACTGGGTGAATTTTGCAGAGGAATCAATACAGATGTTTCCTTCTCTGTCATATTGGGTAATAAGACCCCTGAGTTAATCAAGCTATGTTTTCACCTGGGTCCCATTTTGGAATATTATAATAGGTGTCTTGTTCTGGGTAAAAACTTTTTCTAGCGTAGTTCAGTGGCGTGAAAAAGCAGAAAATAAGGGTAGCATGAAACCAAGAGCAGGGTACTACCTATGTTAGGCAAAGAGTGATTTAAAAAATTTCTTCAGCCCAAGTACAATTCAGAAAGAGTTTAATAAACAGCCACTACACATTGCATCAAAGCATTTGGAAAGACAATTTCTACAGAGGTAAAGGTCAAGCTTCCATTCTAATTCCATAGGATGATCATTAACAACCCCCATCCCCATCCCCACATATCCACAACACTACACTCTTTTAGTCATAAATTTATCTACAGACACAGTCTTAGGAATAATGGGACTAGCATGCATTATTCTGGCAACGGCACGGAAGCAAGGTGTATAGGGAAAGGATGGGTGAAAATTCAACCAGCAGCTAATGACAGATCCCTAGGAGCTTTGTTCAGGAGTAGACAGGGAAAAAAAATTTTTTTTGGTACCATCTGTGGTTTACTTTGGGATTCTAGGATATTCTGGATGAGTAGCTAGGGCTGCCATCTTAATCTCATTCCCTTGAGCCATTACTATTAGAATTGGTCTCCTTGTGTAACATATTGTGACTTTCTAAAAATATTTTTGTGTCCAAGCTGCATTCAGGACTCACTAAGCCTGTTGTTATTGTGCTGATTCTGAGATTAAAGTGGACTTCCATTTTCAATCCTATCTTCATTTTGGCCTTTGGAAAGAGGCACATGATGATTCTTTATTACAGACACTTGTAAGGAGCTAGGCAAGTCACTCCAACATCAAAGACTTAGTCTATCTACCTTATAAAAATGTTATAATTATAACTGTCTCTTTTACTCACATTAAGAACAAATGATATCAGATGGCACCTAAGTAATATATTATTAAACTGGTAATAAAATTAATGATTTAGTTGACTCAAAAAATCAACTAGATTCTGATTCATTTCTCCTTAGAATCAGCATTAACAGAGGACCAGAGTTTCCTGACACAGTGGGAGCAAAGTTATTGGGCCTGGACTAAGGTATGGAATGTGGAGTGTGTGGTAGGAAGAATTTGATTTTTGTCTGCCAGTATCCCTGTCTTTGAGCAAGAATTTAAGCCTTAACTACCACCCAGCCCATATCTGTTGCCCCATCCAATACTTGATTAGGTACCTTAGCAGAGAAGTGACTTTTCTATCACTCTAATCCTTTTAAAATTATTTGTGTAGGCATTTGATATAGATCTTTTTTGTTTCTATTCATACCTTTTTAGTAGAAATTTTAAAAATACTTAATCATCTTTTAAAGAGTTTGCAGGTGGCAATGAATCTAAACTAAGCAGTGGCCAGCTGGCTACAAGGGTTGAGGGCATGAGAGAAGAGTGCTTTCGTGAAGGATATATATACCAAAAAAATGTTACTATTTTTCTGAGGAGCTAGACATGGCAAGCTGGCCCAATTTGTTCTATCAGTTTTGGCCATACATGGTAAACAGTGGTGAGCCTCAACTGTTCCCACTAACCTCCAACTAATAAAGGGGCTGGGGACCATGGTTAGAGGATAGCACTAGCACCTGCCTTTGCTATTAATACTTATACTTAGTGAGCCTTGCTGTAGGCAGGGATGGTGGTAGGCAGAACCTCATGAAATTGCCTTCCATGGCTCCCTACTGAGTCAGAATCATTTTATCTGGGCCAGTTAACAATCCTCCTTGGTTTGGACCTCTCAAACAGCCAAGGCTTCCACTACAAATAATAGACCCTACTGTACTTTTAGTACTGGGCAGAGTGCAATGAAATATATAGTTACCTTAACTGGGGAAGACTGGCAGACTAAGATGAGCAACTGGACAAATGGCAGTGTTTGGCTCTGATGAGGGTACACTCAGCAATGTTAGAGAACAAATAATTTTTCTGTTAATTGTGGTTTTTTTCATTGAGGTTCATAAATATGAATTGAGAGTAACAGCTTGGTAGAGGGTTAAAAATAAGAATCCTGAAACACAAGAAGGGGAACCCTGGGGTTTAGGTGCTTGGATGCTTCCTAGGGTATACTGTACTCTGGTTGCTATGCTGCCACTATCTATTGTTTGCGAATCATGCCCTTAATAGCTGACTCACGGTTGACATATGTGGCCCAATAGACCAAATTGAAAATGGCAAAGAGCACAGGAAAGACGATGCGGGAAATTTTGTCAACCTTGCTGACACTATTGTAGGTCTTGGTTTCAGTTGGGATGTCCGGCACGTAGGTGGTCTTCGGTGAAGCAATAGTAGTTGGGGTTGAGGGGGCACTTGGAGCAGCACCCTGGGGGATGGTGGAGAACTCAGTGTCCTTAGCCAGGTTGATGGGATAGGTGGTCCCCACGATGTTGAAGGTGGTGCCGATTTTCTTTGTCGGAGCTGCTGGTGTTTTTTTCTAGGGGCCAGAAAATGTAAGGGGGAAAGGGGAACAAAAAATCTAGTTAATTATTTACATTGAGCACATTTGGAAGCTGTAGAAAGAAGGAACCCTGAGGGAAGTTAAGACACAGGGCCCCTAAAGCCAATAACACTGAGTAGACATGTTTGAGTCTAAAAACTTGTATCATTATGGTTTACTAGCTATGTGGCTTTGGTCAAGTAACTTCTCCTCTTTGAGCTTTAGTTTCTTCATCTGTAAAATTAGGATAAAAATATTTGGCAGGATTGTTGAGTGAATCAGATGACAGAATGGTGGTAGAAATCACTTGACAACTGTAAAATGCTTTTCACATGTAGGGTCCTATATAATCATGTGATTTTATCCTTATGGTAACCCTAATGAGATAGGTGGGTGAGATTACTCCTATTTGACAGATAAGATAAAGCCTCAGACTGAGTGGAAGAACCCACAATAGCCACTTGGGCTCCTGACTTTTATCCAGGGCTCCTCCATGCTGCTTTCTATAGGCACAAGACACTTTTTTGATTACCCAAGAAATAACTCCAAAAGGCTTCAAACATCAAGCGGCACATCTCCTGTGGGGAAGAGAGCTTGGTGAGTCTGAAAGTAATTTTGCCTTAAAGATACAATAAATGCTATGGTATGTTTACATCTATCATTATAACAGTATCTTACCCTTAATGCACTATAAATGTGTTCAGCAAGTTAGGGGGCACACCAGGGTTTTCGACTCTTGCAAGACTGCAGGCCAGAACCACAATATCCCAAGAGGCTATGCAAATGCTCTACCCTGACATAGCAAAGGCAGGGACAGCTGGGCTTGCTATGACACTCTTCTTTGGATTTTTTTTCAGATTAAAAATATTCAATGGGAAACAAGTATGCATACATGTGCCAATTTATTCTCACATATATAATTTGGGTATATATGGATCTTCCGTGTAGAAAAGAGAAGAGACAAAGGTCAAGCCTGGATTGGAAGAGAGAGGCTGAACGGGAGGCCAAGGGAACAGGCCAGTCCCATACTTAGGCCAAAGTCAATGACCAAGTTCATAGTCTGTAGTGTTTGCAGCCTCACTCACTACTCTGGCCTTTTCTTCCTTCCATCCCTTTTTGTTTATAGGGACAAGTGGGGATAGATGAGATTCAGAAATGCCCAGGAATAGGGCATTTTATTGCCCTAATTTCACACACCTTACTTTGTTCCCTTTCTCAGTGTTATTTTGCAACAACCTCTTCACTCTTATATTTCCTATGTGTTTTCCTTACTGGGTTTCTCTACTTCCTCCCTCTCTTATTGACCCCTTTCTCCCAATCTCTCCACTTTTCTTCTTTACATAAGAGTCATCATCATTTGGATTCCTTTTTCTCTTTAGACCACACTGCCATTTACCTTTACTTTCCTGATTCTAATAATGTTTGCCAAATATTTACTGAGTGTTTACTGGACCAAAATTGTGCTATGTATTTATGGACAGGTGGGAAAGTTAAAAGATGAATCAGTTTTAGTCCCTTTTTTCCAGGAGTTCACAGTCCATGGGAGAGATAGCCTTCTGAACACATCATCACCATGTAATGTGATCAAGGCTCCAATAGATATGAGCAGAGTATGGTAGAAATTCAGTAGAGAGAGGGGCAAGGTACCTATAAATATTGGAAATAGTGGCTCAGAGAAAGCAATTGAGTTTATAAGCTTGGTTGTAAAAAAAAAAAAAGAGCAGGATCTCATCATACAGAGATGCAGCAGACCAATTTACAGGCCAAATGGACTGTTTGAAGGGTGACAAAGAGTCTGCTGTGGCTGAATCACAGTGTGCACAGCAAAAGCATTCATTGGATGTCATGTCCTCCTGTTGTGCTTGCTGGCGCTAGCTTCAGGGTTTCAATCAGGGAGGGATGTTGGTTTAAGTAAATGAATAATCTGACTAATAAGACACTTACAAAAGCAATACTGGTTTTTCTCTTTGAGGATCACAGTCACTTTGCTACAAGTAGAAGTGGGGAGAAACTTGAAGGCTTCTAAAGATCTTGTAAATTAGCTTTAAATATTACATGGGACTCATTTATAATTAGCAAATTTATTGTGTGAATAGAGGCCTGCTGCTAAATGCCCCAGCTGTTAGATAAAAGAACATTTTACTGTTTGCTTACTTATTAATTCACTTAGTAATCTCTTTTTCTCATGGGTAAATAAATACACACACGCACACATGCAAAAGAAAAAAACAACAACAACCTACTACCCTGACTTTGCTGGAAGCTTTCACACATTATTTTATTTAGTCATCTTATAAGCTGGTTTAAGACCAAATCTCCAAAAACAATCATTCTGAACAGCAAACACTTTCTTCAGCTTCATATATACTTTGTATTCTACAAGTGGGAAGAAGCAGCATTTGATTCAACTGCATATTTTTAAATAATAAAGGAAAATATATTTTAATTTCTCTTCCCCCTTTCAACATTTTAATGAGACACATAATTTTTATCTAAATTGTCAAAGAAGAAAATCAAAGCAAAAGTTGTGGTGTCACAAATACAGGAGCCGAAGTCAAAGGTTATTGGTTAATATTTCTGCATCTAGTTTTATAATACTTCTTTATGCACTGGAATTTTATAGATACAAATAGACTGACTTACCTTTAACCAAGTTGCAATTCTATTCCTACCTCCCTAGCCAAGCACCTGGCTCTTAGGCATGCAATAGATAGTTACTGAATGGGAAAAAAATGACACCCCTCTCCACTCAAAATTCTTGATGTCCTATACTCTACAGAGTGTATCTCTATAGTTTCATAATTCGTATATGGCAAAACTGCAACTGACTTCTCCAAGATCCCTCAAGCAGTCTGACCCTAAGACAAGAATGCTTTCCTTCTAGAAAGCTACCTCATCTGGGTTTTGGGATGAGGCAATGAAACCTTTTATGAACTGATGCATGTCCAACTTAAGAGTTTTCCTCAAATGGTACTACAAACTATTATTTCCAGAAGTACAATTTGGAGGATTAGTTCTAGCCCTAAATGTACTTGACATCCAGCTAGGACTGTAGAGCATATACATATATGATTCAGTGCCTCAATATCAACTCCCTAACAATCAGTCAACTTTCCTTAAGCCCAGTTTTCAGAAGTGGGGTAAAGTAATGGATTATGTGGTGACTTGAACTCAAATACAAATCAGAGCAATAACAAAAAATGAACAACACATTTTTAAATGAGTAAAGTACTTGAATATCCATCCAAAAGAGAAATACAAATGGCCAGCAACCACATGAAAAGATGCTCAACACATGGGGAAATAGTCATGCACTAGTCATGGGGAAAGACAAATAAAAAACACAATGAGATATCACCTTACACCCATTAGGATGCCTACTATCAACAGCAACAACAAAACCAGAAAATAACAAGTGTTGGCAAGGATATGGAGAAATTGGAAATGTTGTACAATTTTAGGAATGTAAAATGGAATAGCTTCTATGGGAAATTGTATGTTAGTTCCACAAAAATTTTAAAATAGACCTGAAATATGACCCATCAATTTTACTTCTGGGTATATATTTCCACAAATTGAAAGTAAGGTCTCAAAGAGATATTTTCACATACATATTCATAGTAGTATAATTCCCAACAGCCAAAATGTAGAAGCAACCCATGTCCATAGAAGAATAAATAAACAAAACATGGTATAAAGATGCAATGGAATATTATTCATTCTTAAAAAGAAAGGAAATACTAATACATACTTCTAGATGAATAAACCTTGAGGAGGGCATTATGCTAAACAAAATAAGCCAGTCACAAAAAGACAAATACTGTATTATTCCATCTATCGGGTCTAGTAATAATTAATGTCGTTTTTTACATTCGTTTAAAATCTTGCTTGGCGTTGACTTGTATTGACATAACCTTCAAACACGTGGTATCTACAGAACGTGTGAAGTGCAATTAACAAGTTTTGCTTGAAAAAGTTTGTGTTTGGTTTGGTTTTTGTTGCAAAACTAGGGCTAAGAAGAGCATATTCGGCACTGCATGCTTTACGAGTTCCAATTAGGAAGAAAAGCAAGTGAGGCTGCAAAAAACATCTGTAGTGCTCTTGGTCAAGATGGAGTTAGCGCCAGAAAATGCCAGCGTTGGTTTGAGAAATTTCGCGAGGGAAATTTTTCGTTAGATGACAAGAGTGGTCGAGGCCGTGTGTCCAATTTTGATCAAGAAGCTCTTCAAGCTCTTTTGGTGCAAAATCCTCAAATTACCCAACAAGAGCTTGTGACAACTTTAAATTGTTCACAAAAAACAATTTCCAATCAATTGCATGCACTGGGCAAAGTCCAAAAGTTTGGAAAATGGGTTCCTCATGAGTTGACCGACAACAACCGTAATCAAAGAGTCACAATTTGCAGTTCGCTCCTCTCTCGTCAAAACCATTTGCCGTTTTTAGAGCAAATTGTTACCGGAGATGAAAAATAGGTGCTGTATGTTAATTTGAAAGGGCGGCCTCAATGGTTGGACAAAAATGAGGCTCCGCAGCCCACGCCAAAACCTGACTTGCATGCGAAAAAAGTGATGTTGTGTGTTTGGTGGAATTTTAAAGGAATTCTTCATTATGAACTTTTACCATCTAACCAAACCATTACAAGTGCAGTGTATAGTGCCCAATTGGAAAGGTTAGCCCAAGCTTTAAGAGAAAAAGAACCCGCGCTGATTAATCGGAAGGACGTAATTCTTCACCACGATAACGCACGACCGCATACTGCAAGAATCACTGCTGAAAAACTGCGCCAGTTGGAATGGGAAGTTCTCCCTCAACCTGCATATTCTCCTGATATTGCCCCTTCCGATTACCATTTGTTTCGTTCCTTGCAAAACTTTCTTCTTGGAAAAAAATTTAATAATGAAGAATGCCTCAAAAATGCATTGACCGAATTTTTTTGCATCAAAATTCACAAGAATTTTACAACAGAGGGATTAAAATGCTTCCTGAGCGTTGGGCAC